CAATCTTATTCCTGGGTATTTACCCAAGTGAAATGAAAAATATGTCCAAACAAAAAGTTTGTAAGTGAATGTTTACAGCAGATTTATTCATATTTGTTCCAAACAGGAAATCACCCAAATGTCCTTTAACTAATGACTAGGTAAACAAATTATGGTTCTTCCTTACAATGGAAAACTATTCAGCGTAAAACGGAATGAACTGATACAGCAACATGGATGGATCTCAACTTCATTATGCTAAGTGAAAGACGCTAGACTCAAAATATTGCATACTGTATGATTCCACTTACATGACATTCTGTAAAAGGGAAAACTACAAGGATAGAAAACAAATCAGTGGTTGCTGGGAGTGAGGGTAACTAAAAAGGAGCATAAGAACACTTTTTGGTGATGATGGAACTGTTTTATACATTGACTGGGGTAGTGGTGGTTACATAAGTGTATGAGTGTATGAATTTGTCAACATTGATAGAACTGTAGCCCTAAAAAGAGTATTTTATTGTATGTATTTTTTACCTCAATAAACCAAAGAAAACAATTCAGTGTGGAAATCTGAAGATAAATAAGCATTTAAAATATGCATTTTTGCCCTAGCTGGTTTGGCTCAGTGGACAGAGCGTCGGCCTGTGGACTGAAGGGTCCCGGGTTCGATTCTGGTCAAGGGGACATGCCCAGGTTGCTGGCTTGGTCCCCAGTACAGGGCATGCAGGAGGCAGACAATCAGTGATTCTCTCTCATCGTTGATGTTTCTATCTCTCTCTCTCTCTCTTCCTCTCTGAAATCAATAAAAATCTTTAAAAAAATAAAATATGCATTATTTTTCAATATATACCTAAAAAAATAAGAATGAAAGCCAACAACCTCACTATCTCTGTGGCAAAAACAGGTTACCTTCATTGCTAGCTTAAGATCAGGAAAAGGCTACTGTGTTACCATGGTTGTAAGCTATTATTGAAACCTCTAATAATATTAAATTATGACTCACATGTAATGTAGGGGTAGAGTGAGAAACAACCTGACAAAATCACCCAAGGACTTTTCATTTTTAGGGACCTTGCCCATAATGTTTTCTTCATGAACATAAGAGATATGCTGTGATGCTAGTGAACATATACTTAATGAATTAAAAGAAGAAAGGTTAGAAACTTTTTGGCTAAACTTGAAGTTAATTCTAAAACTTGTATGCTAGTTCTAAGGCTGTTGAGACTCTTTTTTCCCCCCATTTGTTTATAACAGAAATAATTGCCCATACATGGATTGCTAAATCAACGACATATGGGAGGCCAACCCCTTCTCTACCTGTTGACTTTCCCGTGACATCATGATTTCCTAGTTTAAAAAGTAGACAGCAGACAGGTTGAGAGTAGGTTTTAGAGTAAGGAGAGTTATTTGCTGTGGGTTTCAATTTAGCAAGTTGTGATAATTTATCCAAAGTGATGTGAAGGTAGAGATATAAATCTTAACAAGCATATACGGTACATTTTAAAACGATATTAAAGATGGGTTGCCACAGAGATTGCAATGCATCTACCTAACAACCAGTAAAAATTAAACTCACATTTACTGTCACTGGGTTAGTGCTTCCCATGTGCTAAGGAGGCGCTACACAGTCAATCCTCCAGGATGTCAGCTCTCACCACTGTCTGCCTTGCTATTTATGACCCAAGAATCCCAAATGGACCAGAACTCCTGACAGGCGCCATGCTAGTTCGTGCTTCTGTGTCTTCGTCCACTCATTCCTCCATTCCAAATATATTCTGACTATCTGTAACCCACCCCAATATTCGTTTGATGTTGTTTCTGTAAATGCTGACTCTGACTAATATGTAGCTTATAGATAAACAACATATTTGTATAAGTATCCTAGGAACTAACTTCAGAAGATACAGACTCCAACCTTCAGGCATCCTAGTTCTAGGAGAATTGCTGATCTTCAACCATAAAACCAAGATGACATAAAACCAGGATAATGAAAATCAGGGTAATGAAAACCAGGCTGACCCACAGCAGACCCTCATGTGACCAGTTTCAAGGTCCTTATTGGAATGGACTCTGCTGGTCTGACACCCTTTCAACCCTCTCCCTTTAATCTCTTTGTTCTGCGTTCCTTCTTCCTCTGTATAAAAACCTCTGCCTGCACTGAGATGTGAAGATGTCTTTTACGACAAGACTCCCTCATCTTCCTGATCTCCAGCACCTGAACAAACCTTTTCCCTCTTTCACAAGCACCTGTCTCAGAAGTTTGGCTTTTGTGGCAGCAGGTAGCCAAACCTTGGTCTCGGTTACATATGTACTATGTGATTGCTACTGATTGAACTGTATATTCCCCCACCAAAATTTATATGGTGAAGTTCTAGCTCCATGTACCTTAGAATGTAACCTTACTTGAAAAGAGTCATCACAGATGCCATTAGTTAAGCTGAGGTTACAGTGAAATTTGCCCCTTAATCCTACATAAATTATGTCCTTATAAAAAGTGAAAATTTGGACACAGACACACATACCCGTGAAGAAGAAAAAGGCAAAAAACAAGGTGATGTGTTTACAAGCCAAGGAAGCACAAGGATTCCCAGCAAACTACCAGGAGCCAGGGGAGAGCCATGGGACAGGTTCATCCCCACAGACCTCAGAGGAGCCAACCCTGCTGACATTTTGATCTTGTACTTCTAGCTTCCAGAACTGTGAGGTAGTGAATTTCTGTTGTTTAAACCAAACCAAAACAAAACCCCCCAAAACAAACAAAAGAACTAGACGAAAATAATTTTCCTACTAAGGAGATTCTGCAAATGCATGAGAAGCTGCAGCAACCGAATTCCCCTGAAAGGGGCTGTGGTTGGGTGGTGGTTTATAACACTGCTCCTGTGTGGACCAGGCCCTTGGCTGCCACACACACACCTCCCCCGAACCTACTTTTTCCCCCCTGACTGATGAGCACATCCTCATCTCCTCTGACTTTCTTAGATTTGAATCTTCAACCACTTTAAAGGTTTTATCAACTTTTAAAGCAACTAGGATAATCTTTCCTGGAAGAAAAGAGGGCCGGTTGTGGGAGGTGTGGCAGAGTGGCTTGTGGTCTTTTGGGAAATTAGCGGACTCTTCTCTTGGCAAGGGAGCCAATACACACTCAGTGCTGGGGCCTCGGGACAATGCTAGGAGATTCACACAGCAGCTGTCACACCGATTTCCAAGCACAGGGACCTGAGCAACAATTGTCAGGACATTTTCCTGGCGAATTCTTACCTCTGAGTCTCACTGATGTGTCTAACACACACTGTGAACATCAACCAGTCAGACTCAAAGCCAAGACTCAAACATTGCTTTAAAATGGCAGTAAATGTTTAAGACATAATTTCTGTGACTTGGTCATTAACATGTTTATATTAATCCGCATTTCTTTTCATGTCCCTTTTCCTCAATTTTCTTTTCCCTGCTTGGTGAATGTTTCTGCAGCAGCTACCTCTAATCATTAAGATAGTTTTGTAGGCAAATCATGCTCCAGATCTTAGACAGCAGTCAATATGGATGGAGGGATTTAAAAAATATCATTCATTATATATACACTAGAGGCCTGGTACATGACATTCGTGACCTGGGGGGGGGGGGGGGGGGCTCAGTCTGGCCTGCACCATCTCGCACTCCAGGACCCCTCAGGGCAGCCGGATATCCCCAGGGGGTCCTTAGCGCTGCCATGGAGGCTGGAGAGGCTCCTGCCCCCTCTGCTGTACTCAAGGCTGGCATCTGGCAGAGAGGTACTCCCCCTGTTGGAGCGCGCTGACCACCAGGGGGCAGCTCCTGCATTGAGCATCATGGCAACCAGTCATTACACCATTCGGTCAATTTGCCTCGCCAGCCAAGCCCAGCTTCTGGCTGAGTGGTGCTCCCTAGTGGGAGTGCACTGACCAGTAGGGGGCAGCTCCTGTGTTGAGTGTCTGCCCCCTGGTGGTCAGTGCACATCATAGCGACCGGTCATTCCGCCGTTCGGTCAATTTACATATTAGCCTTTTATTATATGGGATTTAATTTCCCATTATCCTACTTAAATCTCCCATTGTTTAAATAAAAACGATCTCTTTTTCTTTCTTTTTGTCAGGAAAGCGTGGTTAAATTTACACATTCAGAGGGGTAAAAAAAAATTACCTATGTATGATGATAATTTGTATTATATTATTCTATGATAACTCAAAGGTCCAAACACCCTAAGTGTATCAGATATCAATTGATGTTTTCAGGTATAAATCCAGCTGTGAATCTTTGATTTGGTTCCCCCACTGCCAGGGCTCAGCTTTCCTCTCTCTACAATCCCTCGTTTCCCACAGTCTGTGTTCCATTCCCTTCTTCAGAAGCCCACAGCATCTGCCTCCTTCTGGTAATTGCTGGAAATACACATTTAACTTGAGTATGCAAGGTATCTGGAGTTCATTGACAAAAGCACACAGATTGACTTATTTGTGAGTTGCCAGTTCCCCCAAATTCTAGTGCTTCATCCATCCCATCAACAACATGTCTCAACTATATACTTAGGGTGCTCGTGGAACCTGACTAGATCCCAGGTATGATCCAGAAGAAGTGGAAACAATATAGCTTATGTTTCCATTGACCTTGAAAAGAAACAAACTCCCCATGCTTCTGTAAATCAGCATGCTTTTGATTGAAACGTTCTGAGATTACAAAGCACCTGTGTCACAATCAGGATTTTTGCCTGTTTGCTGCACAGATCAATTTCATTTGCAATCCTTTCCATCACCTAGATTTTCTTCCTGTGTTTCCTACCTGGAGGGTGCCTTTCTCAACGTAATTTCTTTATCTGGGGTTTTCGCCAGGTTCTACCCTCCCACACACAGTCATCACACTTTCCTGTCCTAGCAACTTAGCTTTTCAGTTGTCATTTCTTCTTTTTCACCTGCCCTGCAAATGGCTCTCATTTCACGTCCAAAGACTACACACATCCCTTTCGTAAAAAGCAAGACAAAACAACCACAACAATACGCCTGGGCCGGTACCTGCTGCATGCCTTGCATGGTCTGCTGCAGGAACTGGAGCTGCTGGTCCTTGGTGAGGTTGTCTTCTGTTCGGAAAAGCTGTTCTTTTTCTTGCTTCAGCAACTCCACTTCATTCCTGTAGGCATCCAGCTGCCAGCGGAGGCTGTCATTCTCCTCTTTCAGGGCGTAGGCCTGAGCCGCCAGGGCTGGGGGGCAGACAATGAGTTCAGGTGAGTCACCTTCCTGCTTAGACTGACAGGGCCTGCTATGGGAAAGGGACTCTCGCCTAAATTCTGAACAGGTGGTACCAGCTCAGAGTAAAACCAAAACGCCTTGTTCCAGGGCTCCCTGCCGTGAGTGAGCATCATTTCTTTTGCAATTTTCATCTATTATATTTGTCTTGTCTTACATATGAATGTTTACTGTGGGCACAGATTTAATTTCTTCCAACGTTCTGTCTCATGACCTCTCCCCATATCCTCGGCACCCTCTCGAAAGTTAGTATGTGCCTCCCAGGCAACAGCCCCATCCACACACTGTGTCCTCTCCCCTCTGCCGGGCTGCCCAGCTCCTCCAGCGCCGCCTTCTTTCTCACCCTTGGTGGCTGCACAGGGTGAGGCGCAGCAGCAGCCCCGGGGAGGGCGGATTGATATGCGCACCGTCCGCCTCCTCTGCTGCTGGGGCAAATTGTTCTAACTCCTATCAGAGTGGTAACCTCGTTCCATCGGTTTTACCAACAGTTTAAACCGCTTTTTCTCCACAAGGCCGAGTGGGTATGCGCCTACTCCTCCCTGAACCCTCAAGTTCTCTGTTTGTAGATCCAGGCCTCAGTCACATCTCCATCAACTGAGAAACCGAGACAGTCCATACATCAAGCCTTCGGAAACAACAGAGACTGAATAAAAGCGGAGAATGAATGAACAAAGAGAAAATTAAGGATGGGGAACCCTCCCCCACATTGCATCGAATTGCTTCGTGGTCTCTCCCATATGAATGTCATTGCTTGCTGAGCACTCACCATATATTGGACACTGGCCCACGAGCTTCCCATGGACTGACTCACTTTTACAACTATCCCTCCCCAAGCCTATGATGCCGGTGCCTCTGTTACCCCACTTTTTGCAGATGAGAAAAACGAGGCACGGAGGAGTCAGAGAACTTGTCCAGTCCCTCAAAGCGAGCAGCACAGCGTTCACGCCCAGGCTGCTGGCTCCGTCTTCGCTTTGAGTCACTGCGCTGCTCTGCCGTCCAGCTGTGTTCGATTCTTATCAGATTGTTCAAAACCAGTCTTGGACTCTCCCCTTTCCCCCTCCCACCAGTTTTCCATACTCTTTTTTCCCTCCCACAGAAAATTCATTCTCTACTCTTGGAAGCAAGAGAAAAGTGGGAGAAAAATGTAACAGCTTGTTATCAGTAACTTCTTCCTAGAAGTAAGTTCTGGTTTGTGGGGGCATAGGGTGGACCTACTGCACATCTGGTTCTCAGTCCTTGCTCACCACCACCACCACCCCAAGCCCAATCAGAGAGCCAGGCCGGGGGCAGCCTCCCAGAGGCTCTACCTCAGTGGTTCTCAACCTTGGCTGCACATTAGAATCACTTGGGCCTCATCCTCCGGAAATCCTGTTTCTTATTAACATTGTGGCCTCACCCCATAACGAAGAAACAGAATTTCCAGAGGATGAGGCCCAGAAATCAGGATTTTAAAAAGATTCCCAGGTGATTCTAATGTGCAGCCAAGGTTGAGAACCACTGCTCTACCTGCACCTCACAGTACAAGGATGAGAGGTCTGTACCGAGCGCTGTTACACCCACTGCATTCTCTCCTCAAATATCAAACATCAATTTATGTCACAAATAGTTTTACAGTTGAGTGTTTTACAGTATTCTGCTTTTCAAAATGATAATCTATGTACAGTCAACACTGAATTACTAATCAAATAGAACATGCAATTAACCAGAAAATTCCCTAGCACCAGCCATTAGGGATCAATTAGTCAACAAGCATTTACTGCATACTTTCTCTGTGCCCAGACCGGTCTGGGCATCTTGGATCAGAAAAAAGGAGACAAAATATATCCCTTCTCTCAAGGAGCTTAAAATGTAATAGAAAGTGACACATTGGAATGAAACTAACACATTCAAAGGAAGAGAGGGCAGTGTGCTGCCTGCCACAGAGTCAGCGCTCAATAAACGTTGGCTGAATGACTAAACAAGCAACTTAGTATCAAGGGATATAACAAGGGAGTCACCAATGGGAGTTCAGAGAAGAGAAGGAAGCATGCAGGCTGGAATAATCAAAGTGGCTTAGAAGGATGCAAGCCAAGAACTAGGAAGGACAGCTGGTCAGGAGCAAATTATAGTTGCACAAGCAAAAGTCCAGAGACGAGAACAGAGGAGAGAGTATTTGGGGCAGGAAGCAGGGGAAGGCTGACCAAACAGGGAAGAGTCTGCGTGGAAGCGGAAAGAGGCAGGTGAACCGTGTCAGTTGATGAGAGAGGACGGAGGCTCAGGAGTCAGAAAGCAGAGTTGGGCTTACTGGAGTGACGAATTGAGAAGCACCGACGATGCTCAGGCAGTGGGGGCACATGAGGAAACTGGTGATTTAGGATGATTGGTTTGGTGCTGGTTGTGGAATGAACTGGAAGCTGAAGGGAATGAATAGGGGAAATTTTATTTGGTGTATATGTGGGAGTGAAACTAAGGATCAGCTGATTTTAGAGGTTTTAGGGACTTAGAAAACCAGAAATGGGCCAGGGTACACCCAAGACCATGAGCTAGTGTGTTTTGGCACCGTGCAGCCCAACTTCAGATCTTGTCCACACCCTGAGACACCAACTCCTGACAGTTCAGTTTCCCAATCCATAAGGAAATAGTTATGAGGCATCATTTGAAAGAGGGATGTTGTAATAGGGCAGAATTACAGAAAATGCAAATGATGAAGAAAGTGTTGGCACTACATAAGCATATTACTACATTTAGTAGCATTCAAAGACACTTAAGTCATTTCCTTAGGAAGCTCTATTTGGCCCTTTCTCAATTTAGACTGGCATTTTTATTATCATAACTGATAGCAGGTGTTTGTGAAGAAATCGATTAGTATGCAGGGATGAAAATTACATTTTCCAAATGAATTGCATAGTCTGCACGATATGCTGAAATCTGTGTAGCAAAATGCGAGCAGCTATAAAGCATGAGCCAGCAACATTATTTAAATATATTATCTGAACATAATACATATAGGAGAGTGCACCATCCATTATCTTAGGGGTTCTCTTATAAGCCTGTGAAGTGGCACTACTGACAGTTCTTATTCTTGGCTAAGCCAAGTGACCACTGTGCCTGCCAAGTAGGATACAATGTTGTTCGCATTTCTGGAATAGGAATGTGATATCATTGTCTATATAAAAAACCCAACACCTGTTCCTCTACCCAACCCCCTATTCCCACCCCCCAAATCAATACCATAGCCAATTACATCAATGTTTTTATAATTGGGCATATAACTGATTTACATTCTTGATTAAATGATTTCAAGCAAGGTATTTTTTAAAAAATGTGGTTACTCATGTGACAGCAAAATGGTTATCTTCTAAAGGGTGAGAAATTGTATATTGACTCCACTTAACTCCAGGCCACATGTTTGTAAACATTATTCAGCATCATGTTGCAGCCAACATTGACTCCACCCGGGAGGAAGCTAGATTATGTTTCTTGGACCGGAGCGCTAAAAGAAACAAAATTCTAATAATTTTTAACTAACATAATTTCTCAGTGTATTAAAAATTCCAGAACTCAAAAGGTCCACTCTTTCATTTCTCTTTCTTTCTGGGACACTGTATTAAATTAAATGGTTTTGAAAAATGTGTAATGAAGCTTCCATGATAAAATTTACCCTTGAGAGACTGCACAATAAATCCACTATTCAAATAAGCTTAAGGATTAAAAATAAACTACGGTATGCATCTTTTTGTAAGAATCCCCAAGGAGTGCACTGTGTTCCAATAAATGGAATATTTAGCTAACAGCTACCACATGTGGATGACTGATTTTCAATTTTAAAAAAGCATACAATAAGACATTTTAAATGTAAACTCTTCTGAACATAATTAAATCTTCCTTTGGCAATTTTAAAGGCACTGCTGAATGTAGTGATGCCTCTGGATTATCATCAATTCATTCACCATCTACCACTGATCGAGAGGCCAGGTGCGAGGAGCCGCGGCAGACACCAGGGTAAGGCCAGGGCAGCCATCGCTGTAGACTCGTCCGGGACCTTAGAAAAACTGCCACTGGAATGTTTTGATTGAATCAAAAATGAAATAACAACATTGAAAAAGCTTTGCTAAACAAGATTAAGTTACACTTTAAAAATTAGCACCGGATTACTAAAATTACCAAAGTGATACTAGTATGAAAATTGATCCAAAGATTAAATTACACTGCTGAAGCAGGGGTTTTAAAGGTATTACGTCACCTCACTGTACTCTTTCCTAGATGCCACATAAACCATTATCCTTTATAGTAATTATGGTCAAAGTGACTTCCTCCTCCTCTGTCTCTTGTATTACTTATGGGTGTTTCCATGGAAACAGATAAGGGCATGCATAACTTCTCTAAGTAAATAATCTGATGAAAGCCTTGAAATCTCTCTCTTACCGGCCTGAGCCAGCCTCAGAAAAATAATTAGCACTAAATGAAAAATGTAAGTTATTTTGGGTTATGTCCCAGAAGCTAATAGTATGTTAATATCCTTTTCATGCTCAGGCAAGGGGTAACTAACTAATAAAACACTTTAACAAATTGTTTCTAACAATATCGGGATTTCTCAAGAACAGTTTGTCTTTGTGTCTTTGGGGAACTCTGTGTTTAACATCTTCCCTCCGCTTTGCCAGATGTCCTTCTGGAACGTGGGTGGAATGCCCGGGGACGCGGCTAAACTGTGCTTCTTTCCCGTGTGCCAGGAAAGTCTTTTCCAAGGATTTCATCCGTTGCTGCCCAGGTAGGGGGTGTGCTGGTAGGTCCTGAACCCTGGGTAACTGGATGGCTCTGAGGCCTCGAAGGTATCCCCAGGGTATCTGCTTGCCTTCCAGCCTGGGTGGCCTGGTGACTTAGAGACACTCCAGGCTGCAGGCCTCCCTGCAGGGCACGGGGTCCCCAGGTGGTCTTCTGTGGCAGAGACTGCACTGTTTCCTCTGCTAGGGGCAGT